TCTGCGCAAAGCTCTCACGTGTGTTAATTGTTAGTTTAATCGGTTGCACGCCGATAAGGCGAGCGGCGCCTTTAAATTAGTATAAGATTTATAGTTGTTTAAATGGTGTGCGTGTATGTACTATCAATGATTAAGACATTGCTATTAATACTGTGTGAAATAATAACTATCATGCATATAAATTAAATCATTTATGCACTATGCAGTGCACGGAATGGATCTTATTTTGGTTTGGCTTTAAATTATCGATTATTAAATGCCCTCCTCCTTACATGTTTAAATGTTTGACAACGATTTAAAATATATTTTTTAATTGAATTAGGCCTACTTAAAAGTATCGTAGGTGGAAGTGTTATATTATAGTTTAATAAGTTAAAACACCTATGTTCTGACACATTCCAATCCCCTGTTAAAGTCAATTATTTATTTATGTTTAAGAGGCAAACTTTTTAACCTAAATAAACTAAAAGAACTACTTATTGTTAGTTGTAGCATACCTTAAGTCAAATAAACCATCAAAGTATTAACACTTTGAACGAAAATAGTGTTGTAGCCTGTAGCACACTCTGTAAGTGAATTAATTAACTAGGTTCAATTTGAATAAAAATTAGCTACTGCTGGTCCATATAGATAAGGTGTCTAAGTCTATGACACCACGAATAAATTTAATTGGTCAGGGGTTTTTTATATGATTCCCAACTTGTTTAACCATTATCACAAAGTTAAATTGTGTTTTAATCTATTTTACTCAAGTTCATGAACATGTTTTGGTTCATAAACCAAATATGTTTATTTGGTGCTAAGCCATTTTAATGGTCAAAATTATAAATAAAAAATAAACGAAGTTGATAAAATCTGCACACCAAACGGTTTTCAATTTTAGACACCGTTTCGCAAACGCTACATATAAATGGAAAGTAATATATTCCTGACACTAATTCTACGCTGCGTTGGCAGATTCATAACCGGTTCTGCTGACCTGGTGACCTGATGCTCCTCTGTAACCTCTACCTGACCTTTCTGACGTCACTATCAGCTGATGAGCCGATCTGCAGACTGCTCTCAGTCAGCTGTTAACGTTTATCTGTACGCATCTTACCGGTTTAACAACATTCTCACTATGAGTATGCAGTTAATTTTTTTATTTTGTAAGTTATGTGTGGTTATGTGTAGAAGGAAAGGTTACGGAATAAATTGTACTTTATTGCATTGAAGTGAGTTCCGATTTTAAATAATTGTCCTCAATGGTAATAGTGTTACAGTATCTTAATGAAAGCAAAAACATTTGGGTTGCTGGTCTTCTTAGAGATTTTTTTTTATGAAGAGGAGGAGGTGCATGTTCCCTCTGAAAGATTCGAAGGGGTTTACAGTGAAATGTGCGAGATCAGATCTTTTAGAGGTTTCATTGATTGAGCTTGATGTTAAATAGTAAGAGACACATAAATAATCCGAATATTAGAATTTTAAAGTCCCAATTAAACCAACCTGTTAAGGGTCACAGCGTAATCGGTTTCTTCCAACTTGAAAACACGATTCAAAAAAAATTTTACTTCAATGCGTTTATCGTAACCTAAGCTGTTAGTATTTTAACGGTTTATCATTGTCTATCTATATATTCTTAATTTTCATACGTTATTATAAATCTCCAAGTTTCGTACGATATGCCGTCTCAAGAACTAGTAAATCCGGTTAGTTTATAGTAAGATCCATCTGTATTTTCGGAAAATACAAACTAGCCGAACTATTGTGATTTCATTTTGTCTGAAGGATGGAAAAATACATTTAAAAACAATGTTTGAATTACTAAATATATATAGGTAGGTGTACCTATTGTATTTGTGGTATTATTGGATATACACAAATACAATAGACCTGACCTATACAGTATAATCATGTATACAATCGGTAATATTATACTCTATTATCTTCGGACCAGAAAATCAACTAACTAACTGCTAAAGAATTCTAAAACTTCTAACAAATTATGCAGAGTTCAATTATTCATACGGAAATAGCTTTGGCTCGATGCGCTGTCCCTGACACAACCCACAAAAGAGAATGCAATTGCGGCATAATGCAAGCCCGACCTTGAGCTGGGGACACTGTTATTATTTCAATACTGAAGTAGGTTAGAGCCATTTGGACACGGGTAAAACTGTATGTAGATCAAACATATGTGTGTCTTATGCGTGTGTGCCTTACATCAACCTAATATACTTAGATTTGGTTCACTTCAACACACCCAGTGTAGGCCTACGTATATGACTGAAGGTTGGGCGTTGAATGAAGGCGATGCCAGCTTTGTTATTGGGCAAGATCAGCTGGTGGGAATACAATTAAGGCAAAGTATGTGCTTTTTTGTGATAACTTTATCATGTTAGTACTGGTTGGTTTTGAAAATTGATTAATATGTTTTTTGGAAATTCGATGTTATAACACCTGTTTTTTTTTAATGTTAATAAAGAGTATTTTATTAACATTTTTCATCGTAGGCCTATGCTTTGCTGTGGGGGATAGCTCAGGACAGTTTTTATAAGCTATCATGCCTTTGCTTTATAGAAAGGTGAATTTACTGCTTAACAGGTCGGTGGGCTCTAAATTATTTGGTGACGGAACCTCTACATATTAATTACCATATTGAAGACTATAATTTTCTTATAGCTGAGGATAATTATGTTGGTATCCAAAAAGTAAGCCGGATTATTGTCAATTAGTTTACTGCATTTTAAAGCTATATTTGTAAATATTAAATATTTAAAACCAATAATTGTGACAAATCACACTTTACTGATTAATTAATTAATTGTGTCAGCGTTAGTTTTGACAATCAATTTTAATGTGGCCATAATATATAACTTTATTGACTGTATTCGGAGGATTGTAAATCTTTAGGGAGAATCTTCTGATTAGCTCACACTAATAAAAATAAATTAATATCTGTGTGCATCTTAAATTTGCCCCCTACAAAATCACTCGAAAGGAATAAATATTCCTTTAAGGATTTTAATGTAAAGCATTTATCACATTACAAAATGCTTTTAAAAATTTTATAGAAATTTTATAGAAACAGCTGAGTTAAATAAGGAGGTATACTTTAGGGATCACTAAACTGATAGTGGCCATTTTTCGTAGAATGCTTTTCCACCAAGTATATTTATTACAATATATATTCCTATAGAATATTACAAGGAGGACTGTTAGCTCGGCGTCGCTGGTTTACTATTACGAGCTAACTCCAGTTGTAAGGATAGCATCTCACCACAGACAATATAATAGTTTAATGTTTCTTGCATTGTCTGTGATCTCACTATCCTCCTTCAATAATTGAGAACCTCTTTGGCTTGAGGCTTTGACTATTATTCCGCGCTTGAGGTTTGTTTATTATCAGCTTTTATATTAATTTCTTTTGTTAACTATTCTTTTTGTATGGTTTCCAGTTTTAATTCGTTGCGAAAGTACACATAAGGCTGACTCTTAAATATTCTTCTTTTGTTAATTTACGTAATTAGGTTTTTGTTGCCAGTTATAACTAAATGAAACACGTTTTCAGAGCAGAAATAACATTATATACAACATTTGAAGGAAATCGTCGAAACTGGTTTAGAGATCTTTGTGCAAACAAGCATACAAGCAAAAATTGCTCATGTGAGAGCACAGGATTTAATTTTGTTGTTTCAAATAAGCTGCATGGGAAAGTGAAATTACAGGAATTTGACAAATAACCGAAAGGAATTTCAATCAACATTAAAGTCTTATTTTTTAAAGGATGACAACCAATAATTATTTCTTAAGCAAAACCCTCCCTATCTTTCAAACCTTGATCAGAGGTCTCGATTTATATAAAAACGGAGATGATCTCCTGCAATCTTGAGGACATAGCCTAATTCAGTCTGTACAAAATCTTCGGCTATTCAGGACCGGTTGTTTCGCGTGATGAAAATGCTTCAAATTTTTTTATGATTGGATAGATTAGTTATATATTCCAAGGATACAACCGTTTACAAAAGTTATAAAATAAATCTGTGATAAATTTAACCAGTGGTTGAAAAGTGAACGCGATCTACACACAGCGGCAGTCTTAGTAGCCCACCTGGCAACGCACGTCATCGCTTACTTTCACTCTAATTATCAACACTTTTATTCAGAGCAGTAATTAATGTCTTGATTGGTACAGTTAGCTGCTGTATGAGCCCTGCTGTATGTTAATACACTGCAAAGTAAAGAGTAAAGATAATGTTTTGTACACTGAAACTACTGTTTAAGGACCATAAGATACATTTCTGATCATTTTCCATCAATAAAAAGAGAACAATCTTATGTATATAACATGTATGAATGATATGTATGTGTGTATTATTGTGGTTATGTATATTTTGTTTTTAATTTATATTTATTGGTTTACGTTTGTAAAACGATTACGGTCATACAACAAATTAATATTTTTTATTAAGGTATTGCAGAATTTTTGTGTTTTTATAATTTAATATTTCAAAATAAACAAAGATTAAGATAAATCAAAATTTAAACTAACATAAAAGCTAATTATTTACTTAGGTCCAAAGATTTTTACGATTCAAATCACCAAGATTACGTGAGAGACTTTAACGGCGGTTAGAAAGGAATATCTGATCAATCTTTAGAAAACTACACTGTAATCAACAATAGCAAATTAAAGTCGTTTGTAATAAAATTATTTGATAAGTAATATAATGGTAATATATCAATTATATATGTAATTTTTATAAAAAAAACACGTTAGTTAAGATTGAAATATAGCTCATATCATATTTGCCAATTGTATTTTACCCCTGTCTTCTCTCCCACTGTACTTAAAGGTACTCCATAAAAGTTAAATATTTATGATACATATATTTTTACCTAGATTCGGGAAACAATAAAAATTCAATTTGTTTTTAGACTTAATTGAAAATAAGTAGGCCTAATATACAACTTAAATATGGGTAAACATGACAATTTATTGTTGTAAAATTTCAACTCACCAGGGTAGCACAGTAGGAAGGCACATATAAAGAATCCAATATTGACCGACATGATGGCGGGCGGATCAGCTGTTAACACAAAAACTGTTTATCACCATGCGCGCAATAATCAGACACTCGCGCACAACAACAACCGCCGACCGCGCAGGCTTAGTCACTGACAGACTGGACGAGGCAAGCGGCAGCGCGCGGTCGCAGTCCCTTTCACCCCCCACCACCGCGCCACCGGGCGACCTAGGCCTGCGGGGGTGCGATTGTAATTGGCTCCCGATGATTAACGGGATTGAGTAATTGGAAATGGACAAACAAATTCACACGTGTTTGTGACGAAATTTGCTTTACTGGGTGGGATATTGAGTATTTTTGTGACACTGTTTTTCATTGGTTGATTTATAACTTTTATGCAAGGTCGTTTCATAGCATGATGTAATTTTACATTGTAATATATTTGTCAAAGGTTGACTATAGTAATATATACTTAGCAGTTGTGCAATTCATTGTAACAGCATATTGAAAACTGAAGGGGGCTAAGAATAGTTTCCTTTGCCATATTAGGTTCAACAGGATTAAGACTCACTAAGACATAATGTATTTTGATAAAAATGTATGTAATGAAAAATAATTACTTAACACGGTACATACTATGCTTTAGTAGCTAAGGGTTAAATGTTGATTTTCTTCATAATAGATTCCTAGTTGTCCATTTCTCTGGTAATGTAACCCAGACCCAGCACACTGATTAGGTAAATTTTTAAGTCCTGACAACCTAACCAACACGAATAACACGATTGTGTAGGTTAGATGTTTATTTGATTTTTTGAAGTTTCTGGAGTTTCCTGTAGCTCAGACCTGTACGCATCGATTGTGTAGGTTATGTAGATCAGCTGGGAATTTTTGTTTTGCAGTCTGCCTTCATGTCTTAAGGTAACACTGATTGTTTTGTTGCAGTGTCACGGTAAGATAGGAGAAAAGGCAACTGTTAAGGTTAATGACTGTTTTATTTATGTTTTTAAACGTATATAATGCTAATTATTGCCGAAACTGAAATGGTTGATATGGTATTATGAAGGTTTAATCTTTAAAACAAACCTAATAAATAATTTTAGTATTTGAAATCTAGGTTAAAAACCAACATTTATTCAAAATTTGCTCAGGACTTAGAGCGGTCGAGATGACTATGATTCCCGGGTCTGAAAGGGTTAAATATACGGTGTTTTAGTCATGTTCCGACTAATGTTTCCCTTGTGTACTTCCTGGTGAGACCTCTAGAAAATCCTCCTATTTTGTACACATGAACTAACAAACAATCCTTTACTGCAGGGGCATCATTGGGGAATGGGCAAGGAGGGGCAGGTGGGGCCTTCGCCCCCTCTGGTTCTTGGGTTAGAGAAAAAAATATGCTGTACTAGCTAATATACAAATATTTTTTCCCTGTCAAATCCTAAAAAGCATGATAGGTGTGAAACCATTTTAAGCCATTTACAAAGAACCCACATTGCCTCTTTTGCATACTGACCCCGTTGCAAGGCACGGTTATAGCTGCTAGTATATACATAAACATGCAGATTTTTTTAGAAGCATTGCTTTGTCATTTACTTTTATGAATTATTCAAGCATTGAAATAATACACGTGTATCAATTTTACCTAATTTATTTTGAACATTGTAGACTACCAGTTTAATATAGTTAAATAGAACCTTTTGTACTTTTTGTGTCAAATTATGTTATTGATTATAAAATTTGATTTGCTTTTAAGTACTTAAATACTTCTTTTTTTATTTAAAACCAAAATAAACTGTTCTAAACTACAGGCTATGAATACAATCCTATTCATTGCTATAGGTCTAATTGTTGTACAAGAGAAATTGGTCAAGAATCTAATAACAAACAAAATATTAATACATTAAGGATTGATCGCGTTTCTTAGATGACTAACTTGCCAACAAATTATTATGTTTCTGGCTGTTGTCAATGATTGTTAGTTTCATTAATTTTCTGCCTAAATTTAAATATACTTTAGGCCTACTCATAATTTTGTTTTTATTGGAAGTGCTTCTGACAATTAAAATAAGCTTACACCCCTCCTTTTTAGGGAATTTCCCATATAGGGAATAAGCTATTACCGTAGTACTCATGGTAAGACCTGGACCCGGGACCGATTTTTTTTTTCATTTTGAGGTCCCTAGAGGCCAAAAACAACATCCGTTCAAATTCATATATATATATATATTTATTTATATATATATTTATATATATATTTATATATATATTTATATATATATATATATATGTGTCCGTTAGCGCGATAACTCGAGCAAAAATGATCCGATTTTGATGAAATTTGGTACAAACGTGTAAACCTACGTTTATTCGAACGAGTTCGCGAACCAGCATGATCGGACCATGGGAACTGGGGTTTATGGGGGCTTTTATGGGGTAAAAATGGGTTTTTCCAATTTTTGACCCAAAAAACATAAAATTTTGTAATTTATTTCCAAACTATTTTGTAGAGCTTAAAAAAACAAATAATTTAGTATATTGAAGCGTTATAATGCGCCTAATGGTTACGGAGAAATTGTTAATTTAAAATTCCCATGTTATTCTTATGGAGAATAAGTAAACTGTTGTAGTTTGCTTGTTTATGAACATATTTTGCCCAAATTTGGAAAATGTTTTAATTTCTTACTAACTATTAACATTTTACATAAAAAAAAACACTTTTACCCTCCCTGTTGCAGCAAACCTAAGTATGTGTTAAACTGATTCTATTTAAATAGGGAATAAATGTGATATTTTTAAGGAGACATTTTAGTGTAAATCCAATCAGGCAAATGGAAATTCGCTTAGTCTACAGGTTTGCTGCGGCGGGGGTATTGTTTCTATACTGCAAAATTTTCCGGGGGTGGACCCCCGTACCCTTCCTGTTTCCTGGGGGCTATTCCATACCCCCCATTCCTCCCGGTGTTCCCCCCAAAGGATTTGGTAAAATGACGCCACTGCTTTACTGTTTAGCCCATATGTTTGATATTAACTATTTTGGCATATATTCAAGCAGATGGTTGCGTTAATAGAGAAAACAGCTATTTATAATATCCGCATGTCGTCCTCAGGGCACGGTTTCAATTAACAGCAACCTTGCAGATCGAGATCATAACTTACACACCCGCACCCGAGGAAAGTAACAAGTCCAGTGTCCGTAAAGTGACCGGGACTTGTTTGTCCACGAGCCCTCCAGGCAAACTTGTAGAAAGACTTTCATAGAAAAGACAATTTTAATTATAAAATGAACAGAAAAATTTAAAATGAAGAATTTAAAGAGTCAACTAGCACTTGGACCTGACGGTTGTGACAGTTCATGACCCCCTCGGCAAAATACAGAACGGCACTCGCTCCGCTTCCCTTCTTTTTGAGATCCTTCTCGATGCCTTTTCAGCCTCTATTATTCATATCCCCCACCCTCCACTGTTTTCCCAACCAATAGTTGACACAGTAGCACCCTGCCACTCACCAGATACCCAGGGCCCTACAAGGAGTTGCTAGTTACAATTGTATTCCACACCTTCACTAAGCCGCGCCCCCGCTGCACTGGCCTTTCCTTGGACACTCTCTTGCGACACTCGGCCACGTTTCTTAGCTATGCACTTCCATTCCTTTCTGTTGTCATTGAAACCTGCTCAATAGTTGGCTGATAATCGTATCTATTGCGAAATGTCGTTTGGTTTGCAGAATTGAACCCAATGTTGTCACGTGGTTATTGTGTAGTTCTATAATTCTATTTTTCCTCTTGGAAAGTTCTATATGTTGATCATTGTAATTTTTAATCCAGTAACCTAATGCATGTTACCTTGCATGAAAAGGGGGAGTAGGTTTCTTTTTTTTATGTTGTTTGTAATAGAACCGAGATGCTAAATCCAAGTTTTCGACCTCGGCGACCTTCCGATTGTTTAATTTTATAAAAAGTATTTTTTTTAACATTTAAATTGTTTCTCTTTATTCCATCACTGTTTACAATTCAATCACATTGCTTATATTATTATTGACAACATCTGTTTGACAAAATCTGTTAAACAAATTATTTAAAACAAAGACTTGTAAGTTAATATGTAAGTAAGTAATATACAAACATCTCCCTTTTTTAGCCGTCTTGACTGTCCTTCTTTTTTAACATAGATTTAATTTTTCTTATATGGTGTGTGTTTCTTCTTAAAACAATATTACTTTCTAATTTTACCAAATAAGAACGAGGTTCCGGTAATTTTTTAAAAATCACACCAGGATTCCAAAATTTGGTTTTAATATCCTGTACTAAAACCTCTTCTCCCACTTGGAATTCATCTTCTTTCTTCAAGGCTGATCTGTTATACATTTGTTCTTGATACCTTTTGCTTTCATTTATGCTTTCATGTACCTCAAAAGAAACTGTTTTAGGCTGTAAATAACTGTTTGGTATAGGTAGTTTTGATCTTATGTGTCTGCTGTTTAAAAGCTGAGAAGGTGAATAATCCAGGTTTGCAACAGGTGAGTTTCTATAATTTAATAAGAAGAGTTCAAAATCCTGTTTACTTTCAGCACTCTTCCGTAACATTTGTTTTACAATTCCTACAGCCTTTTCTGCTAGTCCATTACTTTTTGGATAGTGAGGACTTGATGTGATTATTGTAAAATTCCAATTTATAGAAAACTGTTTCATTTCATAGCTATTAAATGGTTGATTATCAGCCACCACATACATAGGGATCCCATTTCGACTAAATAGCTCTTTGAATTTACCAATTATTGTATTACTGTTTTTACTGTTCAACTTAAATACATCAATCCAACGTGAATAAAAGTCAACAGTTACAAGATAGTATTTACCTGCATATTCAGCAATATCAGCTCCAATCTTGATGAAGGGTATTTGAGAAACACTGTGAGCTTTTAAAGGTTCATTCAATTTTGAACGTAGGTGTTTCATACATAGAACATTGAGATACTGTATTTCTTATGTCTGATGACATTCCTGGCCAGTAAAAAAATAAATTGGCAGTTTTCAATATTTTTGTTGTTCCCAGATGAGTCTCATGCAGGTGTGACAGCATAAATTTCCTCAGTTTACTTGGTATTATAAGTTTGTCATTCAAATATAGTAATCCATCTTGATGAGTTACATCATTTCTCATATTGAAATAAGTCTTTAGATCACCATAATTAACAGATTTTGGCCATTGGGTTTTACTAAATTGTATTACTTTGTTTAAAACATCATCATTTCTTGTTTCTTCTTTAAATTCCTCGAGACTTCTATCACTAAACTTCACTTCAGAAGATTCAATAGAATGCACAATACCATCTAAGGGTTCATGCCATTCAACCTCATCTTTAATACCATTCCGAGATAAAAAAATCTGCAATATGCATGTTTTTTCCTGGCAAATATTTTAGTTTAAAACTGTATATCATTAATTTAAGTCTAAGTCTTCTTATTCTGTTATTGACAATTTTAAACAATGGCTTATTAAAAATTGACAAAAGAGGTAAATGGTCAGTAAAAATTGTTACATTTTCATTTCCATATATATAGTTGTGGTATTTCTTGCACGAAAAACAAATAGCTAATAATTCTTTTTCAATTTGAGCATAATTAACTTCTGCTGTGGTCAGACTTCTAGAAAAGTAACTAACAGGCCTGCCATTTTGCATGCAACAACACCCTACAGAATCCTGTGAAGCATCACATTGTATTTCAATAGGAAGTGATGGATCAAAATTCCCTAAGACCTGATTACTACAGAGTGATTGTTTGATTTGTTCAAGAGCATTAGAATGATGTTCATACCATTGCCAGGGAACATTCTTTTTTAGTAAATCTCTAAGAGGTGATGCTATTGAAGCCAAATTAGGGACGAAATTTCTGATGTAATTTACCATACCTAAAAATCTTTGTAATTCTACCTTAGATGTAGGAGTTTTAAAATTCTTTATTGCTTCTATTTTTGAAGGATCCGGTTTCATCCCTTGTTCACTGAATATAGCACCAATATACTTTACCTTATTAACACAGTATTGCATTTTACTATAGTTAAATCTAATATTATGCTGTTTTGCTCTTTCCATTAACTGCTTTATAATTTTATCATTTTCCTCTTTAGTATCAGTAGCAATGCACAAATCATCAAAATAGATTGAAAGACCTTTAATATCTTTGAAATATTTGTGTACCAATCTTTGAAATATTTCAGGTACACAAGAGAGGCCAAAAGGTGCCCTCAAAAATCTGTAATTTCCAAAGATTGTGCTGAATGAACACATTTTACTGGATTCTTCATCTAGTTTTATATGATAAAACCCTTCTTTCAAATCTAAAATTGTAAAGTATTTCTTATTACTTAAGTTTGGAGCCAAGTCCTCTAGCAAAGGAATTGCATACCTCTCTCTTATGATATATTTATTAAGTTGTGTAGGATCAATACAGATTCTTAAAGATCCATTTGGCTTTTCTAGTACTACAATATTATTGACCCATTCAACCGGCTCTTCAACTTGCTTAATAATTTCATTGTCAATCAGCGAATTTAATGCCTTTTCAAATTTATCTTTAATTTTGTATGGTATTCTTCTAGCAGAACTTACTTGTGGTACTGCATCTTCCTTTAATTTTATCTTACAAATGTCAGGGAAACAACCCACACCATAAAAAACATCTTTATAATTGTTATAAATTTTAAATTTTTCTTCATCTTCTATTACTGATAAACCATTAGCAACAGTATCTACCTTCTTTATTAAATTTAAACTTAGACAAGATTTCAGCCCTAGGATTGGAGTACATTCTCCACTGACCACTACTAACTTTACAACATCCATTTTATTTTCTGTCTCAATCTGTGCATCTATGTATCCTACTGGATTTATTTGAAACCCCCCGAATGAAATTAGTTTGCTTAGGTTTTTCTTCATCCTATTTTGTAGTTTATTTAGTTTTACAAAGGAATATGGGACAATGTCTACTTCAGACCCAGTATCAAGTTTCATTCTTACATTGAACCCTTCAACTTTAACACTTTTATACCAAGCTTTTTCTTGATTACCAATGGAATCAACTTCACAAACTGTGTTAATCTCATAGCCTTGGCAATTAGGCACAAAAGAACTACTACTTTGATCAGTTACTTCGTTACATTTCTCATTAGAAAGAATATTTAAGTTTGTCCTACACATACTTGCAAAATGATTTGACTTTTTGCATTTACTACAGATCTTACCCCAAGCTGGACATTGTTGTTTTCCATGACTACCACTACATCTGTAACATTTAAAACATCTTTGGAAACTGGAAAATCCTTGGAGAACTATGGTTATCATAATGGTGAGCTATGTCTACATGATGGTTGTATCATGAAAGGTTGGAGGGTGATGATTCCTAGATCTTTACAAAAACATGTCCTCGAAGAACTACATTTTGGTCATTTGGGTATGGTAAAAACCAAAGCCTTAGCACGGAGCTTTTGCTACTGGAAAGGTTTGGACAAAGATGTAGAAGATAATATTTCAAAATGTAGACAGTGCAGGGAAAAACAAAATTTACCGAAGAAAGAAATTAACCATCCCTGGGAGCCAGCAAGTGAACCATGGGAGCGGGTCCACATAGATTTTGCTGGGCCAACCAACGGAAACTACTTTCTGTTGGTAGTAGACGCATTCAGCAAGTGGGTTGAAGTCATACCTACGAAGAGTATTACATCTTCATGGACAATCAGAGAGCTGCGTAAAATATTCACCACCTTTGGACTACCAAGTGTTATAGTCTCTGATAATGGTCGTCAGTTCACCTCTTCTGAATTTAGTAACTTTTTGAAGAAATGTGGAACTTTGCACAAGAAGACAGCTCCTTACCATCCTTCTTCGAACGGCCAAGTCGAACGCTTCGTACAAACGATAAAGAAATTAATCAACTGTATGTCAGATGAATCTGGTACACTTGAAGAAAAGCTTCACCAACTTCTGATGAAAATACGTCAAGCTCCGAATTCAACTGGCAACAGCTCATACTTCTTGATGTTCAATAGAAAGATCCGCACATACTTAAGTTTACTCTTACCTAAGACAAAGGAAGAAACTAAACAACCCAAAGGAATAGTGAGATATTTCAACCCAGGTGAACGAGTACAAGCACGGAACTATTCCGGAAATTGTAAGTGGAATTACGGAAATGTCCAAAGTAGAGACGGTCGCCTTCACTATTTTATCAAGATGGACGATGGACAAATTTGGAGACGCCACATCGATCAAATGTTGCGTACGAAAGTTTAGGGGGAGACCATTGTTAGGGGGAGACCACTGTTAGATATTTTGCTTCTGTACTTCTTGTATAAATCCATATGTTAATTATTTATTTACATTGTTCATAAAATAATATTGACTTTCCAGTTATGAATAAATAGTTATACAAGTTACAAGTGCTTGTATTTATTAACCTGTTTGGTCCATTTGATTTCTCTCCTCCAACTTACGTGTTCCAGCAAAGGTTTTAGTTACTTGATAAACTTCTTTCTTCTCATCATGAATATTTGTAATTTGAAGTACTTCTTTCTTCTCATTGATTTCATTCATATTTTGTTCGGTTAACTCCATTGTTTTGCAGGTTTCTATTACATTTTCCAATTTTAAATCTTCTCTCAAAAGTTTTTCTTGGACATTTTTTGAACTTAATCCCAGTATTATCTGAGCTCTCAACAGTTTTTCCTCCTGTTCTTCAAATTTACATGGTTTGACTAAATTTTTTAGGTCCGAATAGAATTTATTAAATGGTTCATCTTGTTGCTGCTTTCTTTTGAAAAACTTATAAATATCCATGATTTCATTCCTTCTTGGCGTGCAATACTTCTCTAGTGTCTCTAATATAGTTTTTACTGTTTCTGGTTCATTTTGTTTGAAATCTTTATAAATTTTCAATGCTTCCTTTCCTAGTAGGTTTTTAAGCCTTGCTGCTTGTATAGAGTAAGGTTTCTTTTCGGTTTCAGTGGATATAAAATATATCTCCACTTCTTCTCTAAATGTCCTAAAATTTTCCTCCAAGTTGCCTTCAAGGCTTAGGATATCCGGTTTGTTAAATTCCATTTCCGTGTATATACTTCTGATATGATTCTTAATCAAATCTTTACCGACTGCGCCATGTTTAATTTTATAAAAAGTAAAAAGTATTTTTTTAACATTCAAATTGTTTCTCTTTATTCCATCACTGTTTACAATTCAATCACATTGCTTATATTATTATTGACAACACCTGTTTGACAACATCTGTTAAAAAAATTATTTAAAACAAAGACTTGTAAGTTAATATGTAAGTAAGTAATATACAAACACCGATCACCTCAAAAAAGCTAAAAAATCGGCGGAATTTCGCACTATTTTTACGTTTGTCCGATTTTGACCCAGCTTTTTGGAGGTGATCCGGAAGGTCGCCGAGGTCGAAAACTTGGATTTAGCATCTCGGTTCTATTACAAACAACATAAAAAAAAGAAACCTACTACCCCATTTCATGCAAGGTAGACCCTGATTTTTATAACAAGGTTACTCGGTTATTTAGTGAGTTTATATAATTGAATATTGGATCCTCGAGATTTATAGCTTGTAAAATGTTAGATTTTTAAGAATGAATCGGTGTTGTTTCTACTAACTTGGCTCAGTTGGAATATGTAAACCAATACATAAATCGTCATCCAAAATAATCGAAAGATATGTTAGATGTATACACGCACATTTATCTATCCCATACAATTTTCGCCATTTTTCCAATTCAATGTTATCATGTCCTACATGGCCATGGACTATTATTGTTGGGAAACCTTTGCTTAGTTGTTCCCTTTAGGCATTAAAAATGCTAATTGGGAATTTTATAAGAAAGTATTAATTGGTCTCGATGCCCCAACGGTTTCATTATTTTCTGTTTAGATCTTATTATTTGGTTGAGTCTCTGCATACATAGCAAAATTCAATTTTATGCTTACATTGCCTTTAACATTTACAAGATCAAATACACATCAAACTTATCTTTCAATTTGGATTACAATTTTTACTATACTCATCCTTCATTTATATTTGGGTTAAAATACGTACATAGTGGCGTCCCCATCTTAAATAATTGATATTGATAAGTAAAGCGTTTTATACAGCCTTACATTAATAAAGATAAACGTTAAATTCAAACAAGATGAGGGTACTTTAACAGATCCCATAGTCGTATGATTTTCAACATACTCCAATGTAGATCAAAATCTCATTAAAATAAATCTACTTAAACCTTAAACTCACTAATTGGTCAGGGCTAACAGTCTCCCCGATTGATTAAAAAGTTGCGCAAGTTTTAATTAAACAACCTCAAAGCCTCGTAAAGTTCTCTATTACCTCTAGAGTCTAAACGGACACGCAGTAGACGTGGCTACCCGAGTTTCAACATTCTGTAGGATAATCAACGGTTAATTATATTGTTTAAGCTGCCAAACAGAGGTTGGCACACCTGGGGCCAGCTGTTTGATAACACCCACACCTGATATCAGCTGATCTCCATTGTTGCCAACCACACCCCGGCAATATATGGTTCAGCCCGTGGCCGACTTCTGTCACCTCTTGGTATTTGAAAATCTAGACCACTTTGGAGCATTACATAAGTGGGTGGGTGGATTAGTGGACGCGGATTAGTTCTGGTTTCAAAGAAACGAAAGTTGAGGTGAGATTAGTGCTTTGAATAAAATTCTCCCTTCGTTACTGAGCATTTCAAACAATTATTTGAGTCTGGTAACACCATTATTGTAACATTTGGTTGAATGTTGCCGTATCTATCTATTTTAACAAATTAACCTGCAAGATCCAAACATTTTCTTTACGGCCCAGATATGTTTTTATTCATGAATGCAAACGTGTGGATTTTTTTTCCATTTTGCTCCGACAAGTTTAATTCTACTGTTACTTTCACGAGTCTCTATTTGGGCATAGATCTAATAACATTAGCATGATTGTCAAAACATAAATCTTATTCACCCCTTATTAAAATATCAATATGTAGGAAGAATATGTAAGCCTGTTCATGCTCAAGGGCAGTAATTAATAAATAATTCTGTTGGATGGTGACACGGCGACGATGTATGTACAGGATATACAAGGAGACTGAAATAGCTTGAAGCAGTCAGGAGAGAAATTAAATATCAATTTGGCTCTGTCGTAACCAAGGACGTTAGACTTCACACGGACTAGACGGATCCTGCGAGCGAGCAGACTGGGGCTTATATAGTTCTATATAGGCCAAATATTGTCACGTTTAACAAATTTGACCCAAATTGTATATTATTTTACTCAAGTTATATTGTTAATAGAATGAATTTGGACGAATGGTGGGGCTTAAGGTTTTGGCTTTTGACAACATAAAAACGAAAAATCGGTCCCGAGGTTAGGGCCTCCATGGGAAATCCTCTATAAGGTACATAATATGCCTAAGCTTGGCCAAACATTGATAGGGATACAGAGATGTTTTTATTGGAAAACATAAATTAAATGCTGATTTCAGTTTGGTTCAAAGTTTCAAAATTAAATCATCGATAAAACCATTGACTGATATAAAAAAATACCTGATATAAATAATTGACTGATTTTTATAAAACCATAAAACTTTTGTCAAAGATAAAACTTATTGAGTGCACATAAATATTTGAAGGCTTTACCAATAAACCAAGGATTGAAAATCGTTTTCCTTGCAGGATGTAGAATTTTGTAGGGCAATAAATTGATAGACACTTATACAGCCTATAGAGTCTAACAATTACCAAACGGTGAGTTGCGATACAACTCGTATTGTTGTAAACAAACAAAATCTAAAAATCCAATCCATGTAACATTACAATCTGATTAATCACAAACAAAGAAGCAATTGTGAGGTGAAAGTGAAGACACAGTGATGAATGAGTTGGCCAAGTGTTTATGAATCACTTTGACGAAACTCTAATGATGAGCATTACCACACCATCCAAATGCCAACTGTTGGCAGGCACACGTAGTTACGTTAGTTGGGTCTTCCGGTATCCTACACCTTCCTGGTGGACGTTCGGGACTGAAGAACCCAGGACCGAGGGATCTTCTGCACGAAACTGACATTTGGGCGAAACTGTTCACCGATATGGAATAAGACTTCACGGCACATCTGCGGTTCTTCCTGATTTGGAGATCTGCACCTGATCAGATTACCTTCATAAAGTGTAATACGTTCAGTTCATTTTAGTACGCAATAAAAATCTAGTTAGGTTGATTTCTTTAGGAAATGGAACAAAAAACAAAATTCTGATTTTGCTACGATCAAACGTCTAACTTTTGTTGGATAGTTTCAGTAATGGATAGGCAAAAGACAAAATATTCCATTCGGGGCCGGAATCTACCACTGTCCGCTGGGGGCAAACCAAACAACCTTCAGATTTGAGGACGAGCTCTATCTTCATGGCTACCCCGAAATGTTGACGATTGGCCATTCAATGACGAAAATATTGGTGTGACATATTTAAGTTAACACTCATTTTGCTCAGTTTTGTTCATAAAAACACAAAAATCTGATTTAAAAATTGTTTTTAAAATTTTATTTCTGTAACATACATTTTTGATTACTCGCCCATGAATCGATTGGGAATTAACTGTCCAAACAACTATAACACGTTTAATATAATTCATTCACTCAGTACAATATTCTTTATAACAAAATATGTGGATTGAGAAAATGCCATGTAACCATCATAACTCTTACATACTGTACACATGTTTGCAAATGGGTGTTTACTATTTTGAATATTTCCACCTTCGTGCGTTGGGCATGTTAAGCGTGAAATGTGTGATATACGTGGCCGATAAGTCAAGGTTTGAAATGTTAAGGCTGAGGTTGGTAAATTGGAGTGAAATCCGCTTGTTTCGTCCTTGAACTGACAGAGTAAGATGGATAGCTACAGGCCTCACACTCCCTCGCAACAGGCTGTGGCAATTATTTCGTTGTAAAGCTAACCTGTACTTAAGGTTTCCATAGAATGTTTATCAAGCACTATTTTTAAACGTTAACTTAATTTTCGTATTATTCATCGATCTCTGTGTGCAGTTAATCATGACAATACTTCTGCAATCTGAAGATGAATCGGCTGCTTTTCATGGTTCAAAATTTAACCCAGCTGGCCTCAATCATTGATCTTAAAAATGGGTTTAGGAAACAGCCGCTCTTAGTCAGTAACAAAGCTACATACATATCGTCTCCCTCAATTCAAAACCCTTCCTGGAATATTCACCTTGAAATATGCCTCCACATGTGCATCACCACAGAAAACATACTACTAAAACCTATAGTAATATGTTTTCTGTGGCATCACTGACTTAATGATTGATTGATTTACTTATAGAAATTTATTATACTTTTTATGTGAAGAAATTTTGCTTAAAATGATAAATTTAATCAAATTTATTTCTACTTATTTTTGTTTTCTTTTTTGGAACCATCTCATTGTTGTGAGTGACTCCTTTTTCTCAAGTGCCGTGTGCTAGTTGTTTGTCAGTGGGAATGATTTTAACCCAATTACAACTTCTGCATTGGAAACCCGGGAGTTCTTCAATTCAGCTCCAACTTTAATATGTTATAAAAAAACACGTTTCTAGCTCTGAACCTTTCGCCCGCCGCCATGACAGTATTCAACTTGGCTCCAGCCACCCCTCTTACCCATTCCACCTCCACTACTTTCTCCTTACCCCTCCAGGCTCAAACTTTCCATGTCCTCACGATACCTCCCTTAAAATAATTGGGCACCGAGCTTTACTAACCAAATGTGAATGAAGGCAACGCAAGTTAAATTCTCCCACTGCAGATGTTAAGCTGCAAGACGAAGGGATAGACAATACTAACTATAACTATTATTACAACTCATTCACAATATTGCGATTTTTTATCAGTTTTGCATTTATTTCTTATGGGAGTTAAATTTGATTTTTCTTTGCCGAGTTCGTTTGGCTCTTCTACACGACCGATTTTCATGATTGAGACCTCAAATTGTTGGCATGCTCACCAAGTTTTCATATAAAGCATCGGCAAATATTTACCTACAGTATTACTTGATCAAAATACATAATTTCATTTATTTCCTAATTTTTATTTCAATTTAAGATGTACATCCTTCACCAGTTATCATTTTATAATCCTATATATTTTAGTTTAAGAACCTTCAGTGAAATACTGGCTTTCATTCAAGGTATTAGTTATTATATAGGACGAGTTTTAAACAAACGCAAGGTGAACAACCAACATAAAAATGAATTTTCATAAGGTTTTTATATGATTAACAATCATTAGCTCCAGTATTGCTCATGTTTTTCTATATGTTTTATACTCAAAATAATCACTAAATTATAGGCTTTAATTTGTGCTATTGATCGTCAGAATCAATTAAGCTCAAGATACTGTATTACTCTATCAGAAATCGTAAATTTGACGATTTCTCGGATATTATATTTATTTTAACGCTGCGGAGCAGCATGGGTTCTCTAGTCAATATTGAAACTATCTACAATAAAGCTCAATAACAAACTCGTGAATATATTTTACTTCTCATCTGTTAACCACGTTAACCAGCATTGTTGCGAGTTGCGAATATCATGCGCTCTCTTGTTCTTGTAGAGAAATGTGGTCATTGGATCGCTGAACGTCGCAACAATGGGATCGTCCACGGATAGTAGAACAGACACGGTACATGGGTCAAAAACTAAAAAGAATTACGTCACTGGATGGAATCTAATCCTACTAATATTATAAATGAGAAAGTTTGGATGTATGGATGTACTGTATGTATGTTTGTGACAAGTAAACTCAAAAAATACTGGTCGGATTGGGTTGAAATTTGGCATGATGATAGCTCACATTCCCGATTAACATATAGTCATATTCCTATCTCAAAACCCCTTTCGGGCTCCGCCCCAGTGGCTCTGCATTTCGACATGTATACTTTATGAGTATTCATATTTAAAGGGAATTAAAAAATTTTGCCAGCTGTTTCAACTGAAAGAGTTGGTTCTATGATATGCAAAACCATAAAAAATGTATAAGATTTACCAACAGGGTGCAGCACTATTTTTTTCAGCAACAAAAAACTGTGATACGCAATGTGAACTGTCAAATTAGAATTGTTTACAGTTATGTTTAAGTTTTTAATTTTATGAATAATTATTTGTAATAATTTGCGAATTTGTAATAAGCTATCTTTTTCTATTGTGTAGGTGAAGGGTGAAGTTGTAGAACATAATGGCTATGGTAGATGTGTAATACTATAGCATACCGTAAATTTGAGGGAGCAAATTTTCTCAAACCGTGTCTTCTCATATTGCAAACGCAAAGATCGAGTATAACTGCATTTATACTTATTTGCCAACCCCGTACGAAGGACGGGTACTCTGCTAGTACTATATACATGTGTTTTCGAGGTTTTTTGACCGTTGCATTGAAATAATAATACAAAAATGTTTATTTTAGGGTAATTTGTTTGTTTATAATCGATATCGTTCCTAATTTAAAAACATTCAGTACAGGAGTACGTTGTTGAATTAAAACATTCTATTAATTTTAACAGTTATTACCTAAATTGAAGTAATAACAAATCAGTAAGGAGTCATGATCAGAATAGGTTTTACAGCATTTTAATTCATAAAAAATATTAAAAACAATATTTTTGCAACATGTTTCAATGTGAAACTCCTCTTAAACGCGGCCTAGGAGTAAACTAAATTTAAATTTGAGACTTTGTCAAGAATATGTTATAGATTAGCCCATGTTCTTATATTCTTGATTCTTAAAATAACTATTATTATCTAGATATGAAGTACATTTCAACAATTCCTTTCCATTACACAATTGTAAGAAGTGAGATTCGTAAAGCAATACTGGTGACATCGGGAAGATAACTCTGGATCCACCGCTCATTATTATTCCAAAGCCTAACCAAATGAGTCATGACGAAGATATACCTTGCCTAGGGTTGCAGGGAGCAAGAGAAAAAAGAGCGTTGTGGAGGGGTATGTCTAGGGTTCGAGGTACGGAAAGAAGAGAATGAGGGGTGTATGTTTGGTGTTGTGGAGGGGGAACCCAGCTCGCCTACCTCAAAACTGCGTCGGAGCCAGGTTGGGTTGTGAGATTAGTAACACCTGAATAACCTTACAGCGGTGGTCAGATTTGGAGCCGAATACGTGTGCCGCCGGAAACGGGCCCTGACCAGCAAAGTATTGAGTTAGTAACGTCACACACATCCATTATAAAGGTGGGATATAAACGTAACATACTTAAAATATGCTCGATTTCGAGCACCGCTGTCCATGTCACTCCGTCGACCTCGGACATCGGAAGTGTTACGCCATCACCACGTAACGTCACTTTCCAACGTATTGTTCCCTAAGTGATCGCATAAGTGACACATGATATCGGCCGTTTAGCTATCCATTCCGTTCGACAATTGATTCTTGGTTACGTACATTTCCATACCTCTTTCAACGGCTTTTGTAGTCTGCCGCACTCTTGAGGTATTGAAGAGTTCATTGAGACTATCACACTTCAGCCTTGATCACACTTAGTCAATATAAAGGAAGGACTCAAAGTATTTAACTATTTTATGTTCGTCAACATTTATGAATGTCTAGTAGACTATTATTTAGAATTAGAGGAACACAGGGAAGGCACAAACAGTATTTGGATTTCCATTTCAGAACAGGGAAAGGGAACTCAAATATTCATAAGAAATTTGTTAACTCTAACTGTAAAAGCTTTGGTGTGTATTAAAAGTTTGCTAAAATTGATACCTCATTATTACTAGCTGAAATATTTATTTCTATGTCCTATCTTTACTTTTACATCCTTGCAGACTCTAGCTCAAAGCGTTTTAAGAGTAGGAAAGAGTGGCACGTTCGGCAGGGGCAGTGGAGGTTATGTAAACACAACCATAACACATTCGTACACTAATTGTGGCGGGGAATGTGGCCTTTCATAACTCGCACATTGGACCGCTTCCACCTGCTCCGCTCCATATACTGCGATTGTTGCTGTTGAATGCCTACAATACCAAAAGTGATCTTAGTATCTGAAGAAGTGTGCGATTGCTTCTATGACATTTTAGCATAATACTCATA